TCTGAAGTTGTATGGTTGTTCTGTTGCCTTCATATGAACCGTCGTCTTAATATGACCGCTGGGACTTCATTAGACGGACTAATCAAGCAAAGGCAGCTGTTGCTCTCATTTTTCTTCCCTAGTCAAATTTATATCAGAGAAGCTTCCGCTTTGTGGTGATCATTAAATTTTCGCTTGAATTTTAAGCCGAAGTTGAAGTTTACTTGTTTGGGTTTGCTTTATTCCCAGAACAACCTGCGTCTTATTTTATTGTTAAGTTGCACGAGAAGGAATTCTGTAAAGAGAGCAGCGTCCTGATTGACTGCGTTACCAGGGTCTCTCAGGCAACTGGAAGAAAAAACTGTTCTATAAAAAAGACGTTAAAGGGGCTGTTGCTGCCTTCGGACGGCATGACATCCACTGCAAAGAAGTTGATGGGCAAACGATAGGCTGCGTTTCGGATGTGCTTTCGTCGGCAGCTTCAAGCACCAACCCTGGCGACGAATTTCAACAAACACCGAAAATGATACATCTTTTCAATTAACTCAATTAACAGGGGAATCGTAAATTGGATGAAAGGGGAAATTCTAGTCGCGAACGAAGTTAAAAAATCAATCAAGCCCCAAGGGGACGCTGCCTTTTAGACGGCTTAGAAATCACCAATATAAGCTGCTTCTGAAAACCATATAATTCCTTAAGTCAGTTGATCCAATTGTGAAAAAACTCGCGAAGTCAGCGGGAGTCGAACCCGCATATCAGAGAGGATTTTTACGCAGCCAACGCTTGGGCAGTCAGCTTGCTGTTCCATATTGGTGAATTCCATACGAGCGGTACAGTTGGGCGGGTAAAATCGATCCAAGTGTGATTAAATTCATGGCGCACGGCGTGGAATCATTGCTCAAGTGGTAGAGCGTTGGTTGCGTAAAGGCCTTTCCTGCTATGCAGGTTCGACTCCCGCCGACGCCGCAATTTTATCACGATTGAGTCAACTAAATTAAGCAAATAGGCCAAAGCCCCCTTAATAACATATCATTTCTGTTACTTACATTTTTTGTTCTTGCGAAAGTTGCGGTAGGAAAAAACATGTGAAATTGAAATTCACTTAGGATTTGATATGCTATAGTTCCAAAACAACCTATGTCTACAGATTTTGAAGGTGTTAAGCGAGCTGTTGCTGCTTTTGAGCACCATGACATTGACTCTTCGCAGAGTAATTGACAAGCATGAATTCCGTTTTGGATGTGCTTTTGTCGGCATCTTCAAGCACAGATAAGTGGCTAAGAATTTAAATAAGTGCCGACAATTTTGCGTGTCTTTTTTGCTTAAACTAAAGAGGCGTGAAATTTTAGTTTGGATGAACTGGCAAATTTTGGCCGCGAATTAATTTTGAAAAGCAATCAACGGCTCGGGCAAAAAATCAGTGATATGAGCGGCATTTACAAAGCCATGCATTTTCGGTTGCATAAATATTTCATTCTTATGAACTTTGTGGTAAGAAAATACATGTGCGCAGTCAAAGTACACGCTGGGGTCATCTTAAAGATGACGTTATCCAGTAGTTTGTTCACACATTTTCGAGTGTTTAACTTGGTGCTACATTTTCCGACTTCTATTTTAGCCGCGCTCGAGGTAAATGACACTTCATGGATCAACCTTGAGCCAAACAGGTGTACCATCTATGGTGTTGTCCTGAAGTCCGCGGTAGCAGCCGGCTTTCACGAATTCCGGTAAGTCTCTATTAATAAAATTTGACATTTTTTCATCAAACCCTTCTATTCGTCTGAGTTGTTTAATTTTAATAATCTGGAGATGCGTTAATCATTGACCTGACTGAACTTGTTCTGGCTGTTATCATGACTGATCTGTTCAGTATTGATGATCTCCCTGATGGAACTTCTTCACAAGTGACAATCCGTGGCAGCAGAACTGGAAAGGTCCATCCATTCGCTCTGCCAGTACCGGCAACCTAATACCGGAGGCCCAAGAACTAGTTCCATGTCCTGGCAGACTGCGTCGAACCAGCTTTTGAGCTGGTCCCCACTTCGATCATTTCAATAGGGTACCGGTTTCGGGTCGAGGGCAGTAACACTGCGCTCGTGGGCCGGGCGATAAAGAACGATGTTGTCGCAGCGAGTGCGGACTGTCTCATTTGAGGCGAAGTTGCCTTACTTCACTCGATGGATGGTCCTCAAGCAGTTAACCACTGCATGTAAGTCTCAATGATAATTGAAAAAAAGACGACTCTTTCGCTGGAACAACACTTTTATTCGCCTGACGTTTCGAGATCCGTCGCCGATTCATCATCAGAGACATAATCAGAGAGCAGTAACAGATACGGGTAGCGTATGCACAGGCGTTTGCAGTATTCATAGGATACAGTCAAACTCCTCTGCATACGCTACCCGTATCAGCTACTGCTTTCTGATTATGTCTGTGGGCAGCAGTAGCTTATGTAGTCCCCCTCATTAATCCCAGCATGTTGTCCTACGAAAATGGTGATTATAGGGTTTTGTGGATGGTGAATTAGGACACGCAGTGGAATATACTATAATAACTACTCTATGCATTTTAATTTTATTGCATTTAGAAGTGTTGTTAATTTATATCTGTAGATTTTCCAATTTTTTATTATCGTTTAACGTATTGCGGAAAAATCCGATTATCAAATTGCACGTTTCTTGAAATTCCCGAAAAATAGAAAAAAAGGTTAGGAGGTCGTCTACTTCAACTTACCTGAGGTTCAACTTACAGGTCTGGAGTTAAATAAGCATAGTCCGCGGCGCGAAGCGCCGCACACACCTTCAATTTACATATGGAAGAACGTTCTCCCAGCCCCCGCGGGAAACAACTTCAAATACATTTCTTTTCATTTTACACTTAATTCTAAAAATTTCCTTCTCTGCCTTTCCTATTTCTCCACCCACCAAAACTCTATAACCACCGTTTTCGTAGGACAAAATGCTGGGACTAGGGGGTATATGAAGGGGACTACATAAGCTACTTTTGCCTGTCTGTGATGATGAATCTGCGACGGGTCTCGAAACGTCAGGCGAATAAAAGTATTGTCTCAGTGATCGAGTCATTTTCATCCCAATTACTTCCTGGGACTGGCATGCTCGCTTGCATTGGCAATCTTAGCGGTTGCTGATACAAGCGAAAAGGCCGATCGCAAGAAATGATTTCGCAGAAGAAGACGCGATCGCTGGGACAAGAACTTTATTCGCCTGATACTTCTGATTCCAGCACAAAGTCATCTTCAGAGACATCATCAGATAAAACTTATTCGTAAACATAGCGTTGCAGTCGCAACAGGATGCAATCGCTATGCTAACCTCCTTCTTCATCGATGATGACTGTCCTCTGGAGCGCAAACGGCTAAGTGGCCTGCATGTAAGTGTTAAAGACTGGCCGAAATTCTCACAAGAGGTCACAGTCGCGTGAGTCATAAGTTGCTTGAGTTATGGTTTACGGGTCACCAGTCTATTAACCAGGCTATTAATCTTCTACATTTCAGCAGGTCATGACCTGCATGCCGGCTATAAAGCACTTAACGTATTTATTCATTAGAGGAAAGTCATCCTCGTTGATGAATTTTCACCGATCGGTAACGCAACTCACGCGTCCTGCTCTGCTTTGGGTTTCATTTTCGGTCCCTAACAGCAGCGGCCCAGCGACTAGTGTTCTAGACAGATTGTCTTGCCGGCAAAGACAAGGGAGACTGAAATAGCCATTTCTGTCTTATTAGCCTACTAGACTAGACCCGAGGCAAAGTGGGACGAGTGAGTTGCTTTAGCGATCGGCGAACGTTCTTCGGTGAGGTCAATATCTCCCGATTTAAACCGGCAAGACAACGAGCTCGTGGCCCAAAGATTAGAGCGTTAGATTTCTGATCAAAAAGGCCGTGAGTTTGAGCCTTGGAATTGGTAATGACGGGCTGACGACGACTAATAAGCTAGAAATGGTCATCCCAGCCCTCCCCCCTTATAATTGCCGACAATACTACCTGGAAATCATCCTCAATGAAGAGGCAGCCGTTGTTTGTGTGGGTATGCGGTATCCTGGCTCGAGTAGCCGACTGATGGGGTAGGCGACGAGACTTCGAAAGGTCACTGTCGGGG